TTAATTTATTTTTTTGTGCTTGAATGCTTTATTTTTTCGTTTTTTAATTCAAAATTTAGGAGAAATTGAGAAAAATGAGTAAATAAAAAACAAGAGTGAAAAATTACATAAAAAATCCGAATCCGGATTGGTGTAGACGAACCCGAATTAGAAAAAAGCTACGATGATTATTGATAGGGTGCTGTTTGTATAGAGCCTAGGCTCTAAACAATCAAATTAGAGCCTATCTTCGAATAGTGTTGAGAAATACAGTTTCAATACTGGAAATCTTTTTTATAGCCTTAAAATATAATTTTATTTTTATTTATAAAGTTTAAAGTTTAAAAAATAATGTAAGAGATCTATAAAAACTTAAAAACCTTGAAAATTGAAGGTCCAAAAATACGATACAAAATATAATTGTTTCAAAACTTGAAATCCATTTTTTTTGTCTTTGATTTCTAGATGTTCAATTTGAGGATATTTAAGCTTCAAAACGACATCTCTAGTGAAAGTTTTGAGATAGGCTCGAATTTGATTGTTTAGAGCCTCAGCGTTATATAAACTTTTCCCTTATTGATAATGAAGTCTATATATAGCTTTTATATTGCGAAATCTCAAGATTACTCGTAGCCGTGAGATAAAAAAATCAATGGTTGGGGCCATGGCCTTTGTTGGCACAAAGTTTGGGAAAATAGGTTATTCTTATACAGGAAAATAACGATCACTCCTAATCGTTGGATGGAAATAAGGTGTTTAGCGGTGTGTCTTTACTGCATATGAGAAGAAAATTTTATCAAAAGCATTGAAATTTGAATTATTTAATTAGAAAAGTATTTTCCATACCCCAATTTTCAAACTTATTTTACTGCAGCTGTATTAAACTTTTCTTAATATTATCATTGTGCCCCTCATCCCTTTCCTTTTTTATCTTTTCTTTTTTCTTCTTACATGAAATTTGGTATGCAAAATTTCTATTATAGTACATAAAGTAAAAAAGAAATCTTACTGCAAAATAAGTTTGGAAATTGGAAATCCGTATGATATTTTCTTTATTCCATGTCTTGTTTTTTATTTAATTTCTGAATGCAAGCTTAAGTGAGAATAATTGAAATTTTAAGTGTGTTTTGATAAATAGTATAACATCGTATATTTTAGTTGAATGGAGTAAATTTAGGTCATCTTTCATGCTATTTTTTGTTTCTAATTAAGGTTGCCTCATAGTATTAAAACTTCCTTTGGAGAATGATGAGTGTTTTTCAGTAGTAAAGTTGTAAGCATGAGAATTAATACTTTCCCCAAATAAATATTAGGCATTCAATAACTATTTAGTAGATTATGAAAGTGTTGGATTTTTTGAGTTATAAGTTACAATTCTGAATTAAATCACCCTCTACATTTGTAGTAGTTCATTTAAGAGAGGAGTGGATTGTAGCTTCTAAAACATAATTTTTGGGATATCTTTGAACTTTTAGTTTTTTTTTTTCTTTAAGTTTTGGGAGAAAAAGGTCATAAAGAAATACCAAGGGGAAATTTGAAGGCTGAAAATAAAAGCTTAAAGAAAGCTAAGCAAGAAGAAATGAATGACTTCTAAATCGCACACTATAAACCACAAAGATGATTTTTTACGTTTGATGTGAAATTGGGTGGCTCAAAGTGCCACTGGCTGCGATCAAATTTTAAAAAAAATTAAAAAAGAGTAAAAAAAGTGAACTTTATGAGACAATTCTTGCTGCCTGATTTACATCTCATGGCCAAGAAAGATGGTGATTTTCTTTTAAAGGGAAATGTCAATAGAGTATAACATCCCTATTTAATATTGTAGGATCTTTTTAATATGGGTGATGTTTGTTTGTATAGAGCCGAGGCGCTAAACAATCAAAATAAAGCACACTTTCAAATAATATTGTCAAATGTGGTTTCAATACTAGAAGTCTTTGTAATAGCCTTAAAATATTTTAATTTTTAATTATAAAATTTAAAGTTACAAACATTGTGTAGATTGAGTAGATCTATGAAAACTTGAAAATTGACGGTCCAAAAATGCATTACAAGATGAGTTTTTTCAAAAACTTGAAATCCATTTTTTCTTTCTGGCCATGGCCATTGTCTTGATGTCGAGATGATCAATTTGAGGATATTTGAGCATCAAAACAACCTCTTCTGGTGAAACTTTTGAGGTGGGTTTTAATTTAATTGTTTAGAACCTCGGCTCTATATAAACTTTTTCCGCAATGATTATAAGAAAATTTTATATAAGGCATTAACCTTAGTAAAGTGCAGCTCATAGATTCATTGAAAAATGTTGCTCCTACATCCACAGTTCTAAAAATGCCATTGCCCAATCCGAATTGGGAAAAAGTGGGAACGGTTTGGTTCCCATTATATTACCGTTCCCATTATATTTCGGGCTTCTGTTAGGGAACTATCTAGCTCTACCTTTCACTTTTTTCTATTGTTTTTATTGATTGATTCGCTGGGCTTGGTTGCTGATCCGGACCACCAATTCGCTGATCCAGATCGATCTTTTGGATAGGCATTCCGGGTCATTGATCCCTTTATTTTAAACATAGCCGACATTAAAAAACCCAGCAATCAATTATCTCGACCTCAAGAATGTATTTATATAAAAAATAAATGAATAAAAGACTGTTTTAAGTCCTAAAAAAAATTCTTATAATATATTATCTAAACCGGCTATTTTCGAAATCTTAAGTGTTATAGATTTGCCTGTCTACGCTATTTATGGAGCTTTCGATTTTGTAATTAGGTATGAAAATCCATTTTTAGGCCATTGTTAGGATTTCCAACACCATAACCATATTTTTTAGCACGTGCTTAGCTTTTATACCTCGAGATCTTAAACAATCAAAGTAAGGCACACCTTCAAATAGTGCCGATGCATGTTGTTTTAATATAAAAATTCTATGTGATGGCTTAAAAATTTATTTTCTTCTCTATTTATAAAACTTAGAGGTTTAAAAATAGTATAGATCGAGCAGATATATAAACGCTTAAAATTCTTGAAAATTAATGGTCTAAATAATACATTACAAGATGCCCCATAACTTGAAATCTATTTTTTCTCATATCCATACATCTCGACGCCGAGATGATCGAATTGAGGGCTTTTTAGCTTTGAAACAACCTCTTCTAGTGAATTTTTGGGGTGCACCTTAATTTGATTATTTGGGGCCCAATCTTATATAAACTTTTTCCTTACATAAAAATATAGTAGTTTTTATTGAGACTTCTTCTTGTACAATAAATAAGTTCACGTTTTGTAGAAAATTTGTAGATTTATCTTGTGTATATTCAACTAATCTATTTCTGAATTCAACCGATTCTTTTGAAAGTGCAAGTAGTAGAGAGAGATTGAGACTTACCGACTCCAATTGTGCTTTTCATACGTCTGGTGTGTGAAGAATGAAGGGTTAAACTCTACATAGCAAAACGGATTGCTGATAAAGAGAACTTTTATTTTTGTTAAATGGAGGTCACGATCATTCCTACTGAAGTCGAATTGGAATGCTTGGAGTGAATTACAAAATTCGAGAATTTTTTTTTTAATCTTTATAACTATTCAATGATACTCTTACAACTACCCATTTTGAAATTTGAAGGACACAAATGATTATGACTTTTATGTACAAAAGATAAATGATATCTTTGCAAACAATCCCATTACAAAAATAAAACAAGATTGAGATAGATGAATCATTATTTCAAGGATTAGCATGTACAAACATATTTCGTACTATTAAATTGTTTTTAGTGTCACTCCTAGTTATCAAATGTGAAATCTGACACATTCAAGCAGGAGGAAAAACTTTGAACTTTGAACATGGTTAATGGCACATCTCCTACAAAGAGAACATGTCTTAATTAATTTCTTTTATTAGAAATAGTACTTCTCTCGAGGTCTATTTCTTGTGAGACAAACTATTTATAAAAGGTGGATGTGCACAAGTCTCAATTAATTTCTCTCATAACCTATTTATAAAAGGGTTGATGTGCAATTAACCAAACTCAAAGTCTTAATTTCTCTCACAACCGATTTATAAAAAGGTTGATGTGCAATTGACCAAACTCAAAGTTCAAAACAAAATTTTTCAGACTTTGTATGTATGAAATAATAAGTTATTAGCAATATGGTTTTGTATTTGAAGGCTCTAAACCGAAGGAAAAAAAAAATGACATCAATTCATTCTAATGAGAGAAATAACTTGAAAAAATTAAAATAGCATTCATGATACTCACACATCACTATAAGAACTTCCCCCAAGACCTGGCGACTAAGCTCACCATTTTTTAGAACATTCTATAATCACTAGAACTATCCTTCGAGCCCTAAACATAATGTATATTGTTACAGCTTATCTAGGCCTTTTATTTTAAAACTTTGTATCCATTTTTTACTTCCAAATTTCATCACAAAGAGTAAAAATAGATTTTAGAGCCACTGTAGGTATTTTTCATGCCCAAAGTGTTTATTATACTAGGTTTTACGGTGAGGCTTTACCTTTTTTCAAAAGACCGGGCCTTATAGAAACTAAAATAGAAAAAAGTTAAAATAATCGGTTTCATGAAGAAAAGTAAAACTTCATCTCAAAATTAAATAAAAACTCCTAGGGTTAGAAAACCTTCAAATCAATTATCTCGACCTTAACATTATGGACGAAAAAAGAAAAAAAAGTTTCGGACCCTAAAAATAATACATACTATTAGTCCATTTTCAAGTGTTCACATATTTGTGAGAGCCATCTAGGTTTTTTCGAGGTATTTTTCATACTAGATTTTAAAGTCAGGTTTTTGTTTTCCGAAAAGCCTCTGCGTTATCGATAAACGTGGCAATAGGTCGGGCCCAAATTCACAGGGCCATACCCGAGCCAAAAAAACATTACGTGACCTAAATCTCAATAATATTCGAGTCCAAGATTTGGACCTATACCCGGATCAGGATCGGGTCTATCCCTTGGCCTTTCCAAGAGCTATGTACGGGTGTAATTACTAAATTTACAGGTGCGAATATATACCAAGATCTTCTAAGTTCTAACTACCTTCAGGTGTGTATACATGTGATGCATTTAATAATATAAAAACCAATCCAAATTTCGTTTGATCAGTTGTAAAGAGAGGAGAATAGGCTTCGATTTTTCTCTGAGATCTGAGTTTCCTCCTCTGAATTGATGTCTGTTCTCTCAACCAGAGTGTGTTTTCTAGGGTTTCAGTGTGCCTTCATGTATCAGCGACCGGCAACTGGAGCTTCTATAGGGTTTTTGAGGGACCCCACGAGTTGTATATGTTCAGGGCGCGATTGCAGGTCTAGGGTTTTCGAGAATTTGGGTTTGAGAGAATTCTAAGCTTTTCAGGTGGTGAATAGAGTTTTGGGGTTTGGGGGCATCAGGGTTTGGGAGGTTTAGAGAGTTCGGAGGTTGGTTTGATTTCTAGGGTGGAGATTTGACTGTAAAAACTGGAGGAGATTTGTACGGTTTAGTTGGAATTAGAGGGTGGAATTTCTTGAGGTTTTTCCTTCGGGGTTTCATTCTTGGAGAGGGAAAGGATTTTCTTCCATCTCCTTTGTGAAGTTCATTGTGGAGTTGGAGCGTTTTCAGAAACCTGGGTGAGTTAGAGCTTTGAGCATTTATATTGTATAAATTTCAAATGGTTGCTATTTATGGAGAATTTTGCTTTTGGCGCTGCTAATTTCAAATTTCTTGGCTTTCTTGCTAGGTTTTCAACTCTCAAGAATGTGGAAAGATGGAAAGTCCTAACCATTTGTGGATTTGACCCATCAAGACTCGAGGAGGGTCATGGCATCAAAGCAGTTTCAGAGTGCAGAGAATGGCATCGAAGTGTCTTAGTGAATAAATCTGTGTAGGTGTTTCAAAGGATTTAACCGATTTCAATGCAAGATAAGAAGGTGATTTTATAACACTCGAGTGTTTGAGCTTTTCGCTTGTTCTCTTTCAGGTCACTTGTGCTCAGATAGCTCTTTATTTAGTCATTTATAATGTTTTGAATGATGAATAGAGTGCAGGAAAGTGTGATACTTGAATTTTCGATAGGTTTTAACCAGATATCACAAAACACATTGGTTGAGTAAAGGATTATTTGTTAGACTGTAACAGCATTCAAGAAAAGTTACCAAACAATTTCCTAAAATTTTCTTTTTATTCATATTTTAGGATTTAACAGGCATAGAGAAGGTGACCCAACACCAGAAAAGAACATAAGGAGGAAGATTTTGTAATTTCTTAGGTTTTATTTTTGTAATTGGCATCAATGTGTGGGGTTAAGTTTTATCAAAATCTGGTTTAAGATGTCAGGGAAGGAATTAGGGTTTCCAAAGACTCGGGATTGCAGTCTTCAAGAAGCTGCGAGCCGAGCTGTTCTTCGAGAGGTTCGGCGATTAGGGTATTGTGGCATTGAGCTTAGAGAATCAGGGAAGCGTGTGATCTTCTTTTGCACCTTCTGCCTTGCTACTTGTTATACTGAGAATTCATTGTTCGATCACCTAAAAGGAAACCTCCACTCTAAGAGGTATGCTTTGGCACAGCATACCCTCCTTCAGTCCAATCCTTGGCCTTTTAATGATGGTATTCTTTTCTTTAGTGAGTGGTGTAGCAAAAAACAAGAACTGACGATACCCATCATGCACAATGAAACCTTCAATATCGAGAATAAGAAGTTGAAATTGACTTTGAGCAAACAAGATGAATGCTCTAAAGTGATAGTACTCAAAGAATTTGATAGTTATTCTATGGTGGTTCCTGGCGTCTTATCTGAGGATGAAATTTCTCAATTAGGGATTCGGCCTATTGGGTTTGGGGACGTTGGGTTGAGGATCAAAGAAGATACTGGGAGTATTAGCAAAATATGGTGTGTTTGGTTGGGAACTGAGGATTTCTCGAAGCAGAAGTTAATATGCGATTATGGTATTATGGTTTTCTCTTACTCCGACAATTTGGGTAGGGAGGAGATTGTGGATGATCCTGACCCAATGTTAGCCTTGAATTCTTGGTCAGAATCAGAGAATTCTGAAAATCATGGATCAAAAAAGGGAAGAATTGATGATGCCTGTCATTCTTCAGTGAAGGAGACCTCTGTATTCAGTGACGGAGAATTATATAATAAGCAAATATGTCAGGCTAGTGATGCATTTACGGCTACACAGTGCAATGATTTGTTGAAATGCTCAAGGTCTATTTCAAGAAAAGCTCAAAGACGAGAATTAAGGAAAAAGAAGCTGCTCTTGGCGGAGAGAACATGTGGGATTTGCAAGTTACAGATGCTGCCTGGTAGAGATGTTGCAACCCTTTTGAATAAGAAGAGTGGATATTTTGCTTGCAGCAGTAGGAACACTAGTGGGGTAAGTCTTCTATGACCCAGCCAATCTTTATTTTCCATCATTGTTGCGGATTCTTTCCCTTTATTCCTTTATTGGTTCTCAACATGCTCTATGGTGATTTTTATCCATTATTGGTATTGGGTATTTCTTTTTTGTAATGGAATTTTGCATCCATACACAAAAACTTTGTTTCGATCATTACTATTATGGACTCTCTCTCTCTCTCTCTCTCT